AGCTATCAAGACATGAAAGGCAAAATATACTTGAATTGTGTGAAACTGTTTAGAATGTAATAAAGCTAGGGGCACATGGATGGCTCAGTCAATTAAATGTCTGCCTTCAACTCAGGTCATGATCTCATGGTTCATGGGTTCAAGCCCTGCATTGGGCTCTTGCTGACAGCTGAGAGCCTGGAGCCTCCTTCAGATTCTGTGTCTCCCTTTCTCTCTGCCCCTCCCCCACTCATTCTCTGTCTCTCTGTCTCTCAAAAACTAAACACTAAAAAATTAAAAAATTATTAGAATGTAAAAAACTAAAGCCAAAAAGTAGGTAATATTGGTTGGTTGGTTGAATAAATAGACAGATGGACAAATGGAGGGAAAGAATGAAAGAAGGTAGGAGGGGGGAAGGGAGGGACAGAAGGAGGAAAGGAAGGGCAGAGAGGAAGAGCAGAGAAAAATCTTGAAAGGAAGAACCAAAGAAAGGAAAAGCAGGATTTGGAGGAGATAACAATGTGATCAATCAGAATTTCTTAACTCCATGTTTGCTTTTGTCTTTATCACTTTCTTCCAAGTATGACATGGATATGAGAGGTTGGAGGCCATGGTACAAGAGCATCAAGTTGCCTTAAGTGAATTAGCTTTAAATGTTCATTATGAAAAGTTTCAAATGTGTATAGAAGTGGAGATAATAATATTCATCTCTACCCTTAATTATTTACCCCATCCCCTTCTGTATAATTACAAAGCAACTCAAGGTATTATTTAAACGAGTTGAATCTGCATGTTTTAAAGAATTATATCCCAGTGATATATTAATAAAGAGAAAAATACCATCCTTTTTTTTTTTTCAGAAATAATGAAGAGGACATTGCAAAAAAAATTAAAAATGGAGAAATGCTATACTCATAGTTTATTAAAAAGGAAGAATATAGATTCTTAAGAGTCTAGGGTATGAACTTGTAGGTTTTATGATAAGATGGATTTTTTTTTCAGATCATGGAAGAAATATAGTGCTAATCCTAGACATCTCAACATGCTAAGAACAAGGATTGCTCTATTGACTTCTCTATGCATTTATTCAAATTCTATCTTTTTATAAATGCAGTAAGTCAGCTAATTTCCCTTTTTAGTAAGGCTACTAGACTGCTAGCTCAGGAAAATAGTATAGCATGAAAGTGAACCTTAATTCAGAAAGATACTGACAAAGTCTCTTGTGTTGTGCATGTGTTGGGAAAATGTGAGTTGGATTGCCATACAATTAGGTTGATTTATAGGTGGTGTTGTGACCATGTCTGCAGGAATAAGCAATGGGTCGATCAACTTGGAAGGCAGCTTCTAGTAGCATACTAGAAGGGTCTATTTGTGGCCTTGTTCAGGTCCTTGGTTTTAACCAATGATTTGGACAACGAACACCTGCAACTACTCCCAAGGCAGACAACAGACTTACAGACTTTCAAGAAGAGACCACACATGTAAAACTGAATTAAGTTTCTGGTTTACTGGGGAAGGGACAAACAAATGTTTTAAACAAGGGCGATAAACCAAGCAAGAGCCTGTGCAGCATGTCTCGGCTCTGCTTTTTTGGGTCCCAGAATCCATATGGACCCTGTGGTTGCCACTTACCTCATCTGTGCACAGTGGTGTGAAAAGCTAATATTGGAAAAGCTAAATTTCATTGCTCACCACATCCCCTTTGATCTTCAGACAGGAAGAACTTCTACAAATAGGAAACATCAAGAGACCCTTAGACCCCTTTCTGATTCTTGGGCAAAACAGAGGATCACTTAAATCCATATCATGATAGGGCAGGAGAGAGCAGTCAGTGCACTCCTGTCCCTAAGCATCATCATTGCTACATGCAGGAGAAGTGCATATTTGCCAAATTGCCCCTACAGCCTCTATGAGAGGGAAGTGCAAAGGAGCTAGTATTTCTGTCCTCAGAGGATAAAGGCTTGCTGGAACTAAGACATTTAATTGTCTGCTGCATCACAGCCTTTTTATACCTGGGGATTATCATTATTCTTAAAGAACTCACACAAATAATCTATGTCCCTGATGTCTCCTTTTCAAGGATTATTTTCAGATATTGAGACTCTCTTGATTCTTGAGTCAAGCTCAGCATCAATAAAAAGGACACCCTCATCAGGGGAAAAGGCAGATTTAGTGTTCAGGCATTTCTGATAGTCTCTCTGTCTCTGGTTATCCAGAACCCTAGAGAATTTAGTTTCTAAACAAGCCTCTCAGATTTACAGAGGACGCGAAACTGGGAAGGCCCTTGGAAATGCCAGTGGTAAAATCAAAACTTTTAAAACTATCAGAACACTTACAAGCATGAGATAAAAATTAAAAGAAACTAACCAGATAAATATGAAGTCCTATCTTTAGTCTCCAAATAAGCATTTAAATAGAAATTAGAAAAGATGTGATCATATGTAAATAAATATGATTTTTTCAACTTTTTAATGAAAAGAGCCAGAAAAATGAGCCATTTATTTCTTTAAACTGCTTTTGTGGGGTGCCTGAGTTGCTCAGCCAGTTGAGCATCCAACTCTTAGTTTTGGTTCAGGTCATGATCCCAGGGTCTTGGAATCAAGCCCCACATCAGGCTCCTTGTTGAGTATGGAGCCTGTTTAAGATTCTTTCTCTCTTTCTCTCTCTCTCTCCCTCCCTCTACCCCTTTCCCCATTCTTTCTCTCTCTCTGTAAAATAAAAAATAAAAAATAATTTTTAATCGCATTAATAATTGTACTTATCAAAGGTGGTCATGATTGCTTTCTATATATTCTATACAGAGGAGGCAAATTTGGGTTAATTTTGTATATCTCATTTCAGTGAGATATGAACCAGCCATAGAGCAAAGGACTAGAATGGATGAAGGTCTCAAAACTGATGGTAATGAGAATAATGATAGCAACATCCATGTATTGAAGCCCTATTGTATACCTCACTCTGTGGTAGACATTTTCCTTGAAATGGCTGTGGAGATGAACCTCTCCAATCTAAAAAGGTCAAGAGGTTATGTCCCCAGCTAAACTTAACTCCAAGATGACAGGGGCTTTTGTACATAGCCTTCAGATGGTAATGAAGATGCTAATCATGATCATGATAGGTGCTTCCCAATGTGTGAGAAATAAATTACCAAGTGGCCAGAAGAAAAGCTTATGTGTCTCCAGAAAGGAAATTAGATCAAATGGATTGAACTTATCAGAAAGCAAATTAAAGCTCAAATATAAAAAAGAAATTTCTATCACTTATTGTTGCTAAGAAAATGTACAGGAAATCTTTTTAGGAGTCTCACCTGCCAGTAAGTGCTCACTATAGACAAGCTTCAGAGGTTGCCAGCTGGTAAAGCTGATACTGTTATCTCCATATACATGAAGAAATCAGAGATCAAGTAAAAACATGTGAGAGTTCACATAACTAGGAAATGAAGGATTAAGGTTTACTGACTCTAAAGCTCATTTATTTTCACTAAGTGATAATCATTCCTATCATTGGAAATACTCTTCTATGGCCATTGTCAACATGTCTCTCTTTTGAGAACATGTTTAAGAGAATTCCTGCATTAGGTGAGGTTAAGTCCTATCTCTTTGATTCTCCAGGCACTCAGTATCAATGAGCCTGTTTGTCAAGTAATAAACTCTTGTAAGAATGAATGTTTAATGATCTGCCTCATAAACCCATAAAGCAATAGAGTATTGGTATCATTTTTAAATGAATCTAAAGACATCAGTTTGAATCAAGGGAATGTTTAATGCTCTCAGTGCAGGACACTTGCTAATTCATCCTGAGGTTCATTAGAAAAGCACTTAATTGGCCTCCTAATATAATTCCTTCTAGACCCATTCATTTACTTGCTACCCTATTATATTTTGAAGCATTCATGTAGCATTTTTACTGGTGAAATTCAGTACATGTCAAAAAAATAGCTCTCTGCCTTTATATCTGTTATGAGCCATAAACAGGGCTTAATGAATGTCAAATATTTAGAAGCAGAGAACAGACATTTGTTGAATGTCTGTTTTGTCTTAGACATAGCCTAGAGGTTAGCCCATTCAGAGAAGGTGGGAGGATCTCCAGGATCTCCGATGTAGATGGAACAAACAGCCCGTCCGCAGGGCATTGTGTGGAGACCCGCCCAAGAGCGACAGAGGTTCCAGGTGGAGAGTGGTGGGAAATGTTACTGGGTAGGGGGCACGGAAAGAGCTTGGATTCTGAGCAGAACATTCAGACCTGGTGTTGTGGGCATCAGAAGCCATGCTGGATTCTTGAGTAGAAAAGTAGAATGAGGAAAGTAGTTGAAGAATATGGGGAACCTGTTCCTCTATGTTAGAGAGGAGATGGAAGCCCCAGTATAAAAAAGAGGAGTGGTTGTTTTTAGAAAGGAGTCTCCTGTGAGGCTGACAGGGAGGTTTGCAGGATAGACACTAGTCATACTAATGAATACTTACACAGCGTGAACTACGTGCCAGGCAGTGCCCTCTGCTTGAGTATTGTTACTCATTTATCCTTATAATTCTGTGAAATAAGTAATGTTATCATCTCCCCCATCTTCCAGATGAGAAAACTGAGGTTTCCGAAAGCAATTAGTCACACAGAAAAGAGGCCCAGCTTTCAGCAAGTACTCACCTCACAGCCATTTTCTGATGACCAATCCCAGTGCATTTAAAATGGTTATTTGATGATAGTGCTATCATCTTGCTGTTTAAGCCACAGCTTGAGCAGACTGTTCTCAGAAGTGGCAGACACCACAGGGCTGAGGCTGTGTTCCTAGGCCCACGAACATGGTTGACAAACTCATCTCCCGTGTTGGATACCTGTGCTCTCTTCCCCTAGAACTTGAGCGGTATGAGGCAACCCTTTTCAAGTCTTAACATTGTATTTGTATTCCAATAAAAATAAAAATCAAATTAAGTGAATGGGTTATATCTATAGTTGTTTTCTTTGTAAATATTATAAATCCCTTTCCACACACATGGCATACCATATGTGTACGTTTCTCCCCCCACCAGGGGCTCAAGATCTGGATCGTATCCGACTCTCCACCTACAGAACAGCATGCAAGCTTAGGTTCGTTCAGAAGAAATGCAACTGTAAGTATGCCAGTTGTTTGGACTAATTACCCTCATGAAACCTGCAGTTTACATTTGTTATTTAGTTTATTAAAACTGGTTTTCTTGTAAGTGTTGATAAAAATATGTTTACACAACAATGAAAAGAGTATTATGATACACAAATGGTAGAGAGACTATTGGAAGTAATTCTGAAGGCTTAATTGCTCTTAACTGCTGAAGTATTGAAATGGATAAGCCTCTAGATATGTACGACTTCCTGTCCTTGGTGTGGCTTAAATCTGGGTGGATATTTTTCTTCTCTTCTCTACCCTTGGTATTGTCAATGCTGTGCCATCAAAATGGTTTCCGAGAACTTTATAAAATATCAAATATGAAGTCCTCTTTGTATTTGTGTTTCCTTTGCAAATATAGAAGAATGCAAACATAAGAGAATGTTTACAAGCTCCTGGAAAACAGAATTTTCTTTCTGAAGCTACAAAATTAGCCTTTATTATCAGAGCATTGACTACATTTGTCTACATCAGACAACAGGAAGAGAAGAGACAATAATATTTTAAGAAACAAAGGGACTTGCTTCATCTTTTTCTCAAATTTTAAAATGTCAGCGGCCAGCTAGATCACTAATCACAGCGAGCCCTTTATATCCTCTGCTGCCCTTGCTTCCGTCATGTCACACCACATCCATTTTCTGTTGGAGAGAAAAGTCGCCTCATATTTCCTGTGCTTGAACTTATTCTTTTCTTTTTGAAAACTGACTGCTATAAAAATTAATAACTGTTCTTATTGTCTAATTAGTACGGGATGGATTAGAAAGAAGAAAAACATAAAGTTCCCCTATAGTACATACACAGTTTTTGAATAAGTGACCTAGGAATTAGGAACAGTGAATGTAGAAACCAGCCATTTCCACACCTCTATTCTCCCTGAGTCTCCAGCAGGTGTTTCTTGGGGGCCTGGGCAACCCCAGCCCCAGGCTTCCTGGCTTACAGAAAATTGTGACTAATGGCACAGGCAATGTGTATCTAGTCTTCAAGTTGCTCATCTACAGCTTATTCCTCAGCCTAGTGCCTGGAAATGGGGCTGAAGTTTGAGGCAGGATGACAAAGGAATAAAAGCAGATTGGCCAAATATCAAAGACATGTTTGACTCCTTTCAGGAAGTCAAAAGGAAAAAAAAGTGGGGAAGCAATGAGAAGAGCACTACAGACGTAGGAAGGAATTTGTGGATATCCTTGCAGCCCTGAGCACTGATGAGCCTTTAAAAGATTTTTCGAGGACTGGTGTTAAAGGACAAGGAAGATGCTCACACCAAAGAAAAGCTTTTCTCCCCACTCCCCCATCACCCGTATTTAAACAAAAGGAAAAATCTCCATGTTTTCAGTAATGAAAAAGTGATAGAATTCTCCCATGTTCTTTCCTCATTACCACTCAGCGGTCCTCAGAATAGAAGTCGAGGAGAAGGAGCAGGGACAAGAATTCTGTTCTCAGAGCTTTGCCAAGCAGAGCTTCCTCAGGTCTTTCAGCAGAGATGGGAAATTGCAAAAAGGTGTTGCAAAATAGTAGGGGTGAACTAAAAAGTAAGTAAACAATAAAGAAAAGGAAGGAAGGAAGGAGGGAAGGAAGGAGAAAGGGGAGGAAGACAGGGAGGGAAAGAGAGGGGGATTGGAGGGAGGGAGAGAGAGGGGAGGGAGGGAGAAGAGAGGGAGGGAGAGAGGGAAGAAAAAAAGAATCAGTGATTTGACAACCACCCCTGCAGCCAACATCACAAAGGCCCTAACTGGCTCCAGCCACCCTGGGTGACATTGCTTTCCTCCTGCTCTCAGATCATAGCCCTTTCTAATTTTTGGGGCATCCCCTTTTCCTTTTCCTATTCTTTTCTGGTCCTCATCCTTATTCTGCATCCAGCGTCAAGTCATCGTCACACTGATCTCCGGTGAGAACAGTGCTAGTCCATCCCTGGGTGGAAATAGAACTTTCATACCTGCCCAGCCGACTCTCAGTGCATCAATTCCCTTACCTTTTAATTTAGAAAGCTTATAATGAGCTCCTCCTGTGTGTTCGGCACTGTGCTTAGGTGCCCAGGATGAAGCCATGTGAATAAGACGTGCTCTGTGCCTAAAGTTGCCCAAAGTCTAACTGGGTGGATGAAATTTTAAACAGACTCTTAACACAGTGTGGAAGTATAATGGTAGGAATCTGTGCGTGGTGTTGTGGGAGCACCAGGGAGGCAGTGCCCTACCTGGGTGTGAGGGCCAGTAAGAGGAGTTTCCTGCAGAGGGGTCTTAAGGAGTTAGTGGACATTACGCAGGGAAGTGTTATACCTTACAAGCTTCATCTATTTTAGGATGAGAAAAACATTACATTTTATACAAACTACACAAAACTAAGGCTTAAGGAAGAGAAAAGAGCAAGTTTTGGATGCTAAATTAAGCCGCTTTATAAAATTATTTCCACCTTGAGCAGAAGCGTTAATGCACGTACAATATGTGTTTGCTGAGTTTTCCTACCTGACAATAAATACAACAGTTGTGATGTTGAGGAGTTTGCAAAATGCTAACACAGCTGAGTCTGTTTTATCTTAAAAGTAGGGCCTTCTTTTTAAGATTACCAGGACCTGGTGTTTATGTGACATAGTATCAGTCAACGTTGAACCCACAACCCCTTAGAGGAAGGTCATTTTTGTCTGCAATAAAACATAATCCACCATAAATTATGGTACTTTATAATGGAGTTTTACTCTACAATAAAAGCAATAAGAACAAAACCTCCAGGTAGTGTGTTTGTAAGTACATTGCTTTATTGGAAATTCTTACATAGCACTTACTTCATTGAAATCAATGGACTTTAATGGAGAACAGGTTATTTTTAAGTCCAGACCTTATTTACAGGTAAAATTGATTTTGTATATTAACAAAACTAAGCTTACAAACTACATAATAGAGGTGAAAAACATAAAAACCAACACTTGTAAAGTCATCACCTAGAAAAAAAATACTGTCTGATTATAGCATGGAATATTAAGAGATTTGTTTCCTATCTGAATTCAGATGTCAGAAGGGTTAGTCAGTTCCCTATATTTCTGTCCCCATAGCCCTTGCGTACTTTCTTTATGGTTTCCACATAGAGCACTGATTCTTATCACCCACATTCATGTTCATTCCCTTTAATGCAATTCCTGATGGATGCTGAGAAGAACTGGTTCCCAGGATTCTAAAAAGACTCCATATAAGAGGGCAGAAAACTGGAGCCTGCGCACCAAATGCAGACCAGCACCCACTTTTATATAGACTGTGAAATAGGAGTTCTTACAGATGAATATTTTTAATAATTTTAAGATAGGAAATGCTATTTATAATGCCTGCTAAGCAAAATGTTATCCCTCCCACAGACGTTCCAGTCTTCTCATTGATAGACAAGCATTAAAAAAATTGCACTCCATTATTATATTTTTAATGTTATCAGAGTGTAAAATTTTTCTTATATATATGCCATCATAATATCTACAGAATATTACAGTGTAATACAGTAATGCCCCATTGTCCACACACACAAAAAAGATATTTACCAACCTCTGTTATAAAAGAAAAATTGTGGGGCACCTGGGTGGCTCAGTCGGTTGAGCGGCCGACTTTGGCTTAGGTCATGATCTCTCAGTTCATGAGTTCAAGCCCCTAGCCGGGCTCTTTGCCAACAGCTGGAGCCTGATTTGAATAATGTGTCTCCCTCTGTCTCTGCCCCTTCCCCTATTGCGCTGTGTGTGTGTGTGTGTGTCTCCAAAAAAAAAAAAACCATTAAAAAAAAAGAGAAAAATTATGAGACACCATCTTTTCTTTTTTCTTTTTTTTAAAGTTTATTTATTTTTGAGTGAGACAGAGACAGTGAGAGCAAGGGAGGGGCAGAGAGAGAGGGAGAGAGAAAGGGTCTCAAGCAGGCTCCAAGCTGTCCGCACAGAGCCCTGATGTGGGGCTGGAACTCACAAACCATGAGATCATGACCTGAGCTGAAATCAAGAGTCAGACACTTAACCAACTGAGCCACCCAGGCACCCCATCTTTTCTTTTTTCAAGCAAAAGATTCTTTATTCCCTCAACTTTTCTCCATGGGCTCTATTTTTAAGTCAGCTGCTTTCCTTTACCATTCATCTTTGTGCACTGTCATACCCTCACTCCCCATGCCATGACTAGCACATTCCCTAATGGAACAAAAAGGAATGGGTACCCCTAAGAATTAGGGGGCACCAAGTTGGCAATCTTATTTTCTAGGAAGAATAGGACTGAATGGAGAATATAGATACTATTCCTAATACTGCTTTCTAATCAACAGCCTTCTCTTTAGCTTCCAGGTTTCCTAAGAACCTTCCACAAAAGGAAATACCCTATGTGTCATCTACGCATAAGGATGTGTGAAATGGCAACATCTCAGCCTTTGTTTTAAACAAATAACTATTTTCTGCCAGAACATTATTTCCTCGGTCAGCGCTGACATGGTTAATGATCCAGATACCCTGTAATGTCAGCAGATCTTTTTTCAGAAATTACTTTGGAGTCAATGGAACGCAGCCTTAAGTTCATGAACAATGAAAGAGAATGAGAGGAATAAATCAGAAATCTCAAATCCCTCCTGTTTAATAGTAGGTACCATAGTGTGGAGGCACTCTCCTTCAGTTCTTCTGGTCACAGTCTGAATTTTCCTTTTGTCACTCATACCAGCTAAAATTTAATTAAAATGTTGCTTAAACAGAAAAGAGGAAAGGTATATATTTGTATCTGAGTTTTCAGAGTTTCTCAAATGTCTTCCCTCTAATAAAAGAAACATTTTTATAAGTATCCTTCATCCGGTTATAATTTAAAGTTAGAACACACACTTTTGCCTTTAATAGCTCTAAATTTCTTTTAGGGTTTCTAGACAAAAAAAAGAAAAAAAAAATGCAGGCATCTGTTTATCTAATGGCTTCTCTGTCACTGTGAAATTAATGCATGTGCATGTTATATATGTGGAGGGTCCTGAATAAATATTCTT